GTTCTGTGGGCATATGCTTTAATTTTCTTGGGTAAACCTAGGAATGGAATGGCTTGATCATAATGGCAGGTGTATGTTTAACTTTTTAAGAGACTGCCACACTGGTTTCCAAAGTTGGTTGTATCATTTTGCATTCCCACTAGCAGTGTATGAGAGTGTCACTTCCTCTACATGCTCACCACACTTGGTATGGTCATTTTTTAGCCATTCTAGTAGGTAACTCTTTGTGGTTTTAGTTTGCATTTCTCTAACGACTAGTGGTATTAAGCATCTTTTCATATGCTTCTTCGCCATTGTATATCTTCAGTGAAATGCCTTTTCAAATTTTATGTCCATTTTTAAAAATTGTTTTTTTAATTAAACTTTGAGAGTTTTTAATATTCTAGAAATAAGTCCTTTATCAAATATGAGTTTGCAAGTCCCAGTGCATGGCTTGTCTTCTTATTATCTTAAGAGTGTCTTTCAAAGAGCAGTTTTTAATTTTGATGAAGTCTAAAATATCAAATTTTTCTTTTATGGATTGTGCTTTTGGTGTCATGTCTAAGGAATCTTTGCTTAACCCAAGGTCACAAGGATTTTCTCCTGTGTTTTCTTCTAGTTTTCTAGCTTTGTGTTTTATGTTTAGATTCGGGTTCTAGTTTGAGTTAATTTTTGTATATGGTACAAGCATGGATCGAAGAGCTCATTTTTTTGCCTATGGATATCAAATTGTTCCAGCACCTTTTGTTGAAAGGACTATCCTTTCTTTACTGAATTGCCTTTGCACCTTTGTCACAAATCAGTTGTGCATTTGGATCTATTTCTGAACTCCCTATTCTATTGATCTATTTGGTTATCTTTATATAAATGCCATACTGTCTTGATTACCATAGCTTTATAGTAAGTCTTGAAATCAGGCAGTGTTAGTCCTTCAACTTCATTCTTTATCAAAGTTGTTTTGGCTGTTCTTGGTCTTTTGAATTTCTATGTGTACTTAAGAATCAGTTGTCAATTTCTAACAAAAAAGCCTTAGGATTTTGACTGGGATTCTTTTTTTTTTTTTTTTTGCGGTACGTGGGCCTCTCACTGTTGTGGCCTCTCCCGTCGCGGAGCACAGGCTCCAGACGCGCAGGCTGAGCTGCCATGGCTCACGGGCCTAGCCGCTCTGCAGCATGTGGGATCCTTCCGGACCGGGGCACGAACCCGCGCCCCCTGCATCGGCAGGCAGACTCTCAACCACTGCGCCACCAGGGAAGCCCCTGACTGGGATTCTTTTGACTCTTTATGTCAGTTTGGGAAAACAGACAACTAAACAAGTTGAATCTTCCTACCCACGAACAAGGTATACCTCTCTATTTATGTATGTTTTCTTTAACTTCTTTCAGCAATGTTTTATAGTTTTAATTTATAAGTCTTGCACATCTTCTGTCAGATTTATCACTAAATATTTAATTTCAAGGTCTGATTATTTGTTGCTAGTATATAGAAATACAGTTGATTTTTGTTTATTGATCTTGTATCTTGCAACCTTGTTAAACTTACAGTCTGGTATCTTTTCCATAAGCTTCTTCAGATTTTTCTGTATACACGTTCGTGACATCTGCAAATAAAGACAGTTTTACTTTTTCCTTATCAACCTGGATGTTTTTTGTTTGTTTGTTTTTCGCGGTACATGGACCTCTCAGTGTTGTGGCCTCTCCCACTGCAGAGCACAGGCTCTGGACGCGCAGGCTCAGCGGCCATGGCTCACAGGCCCAGCCGCTCCGTGGCATGTGGGATCTTCCCAGACCGGGGCACAAACCCGTGTCCCCTGCATCAGCAGGCGGACTCTCAACCACTGCACCACCAGGGAAGCCCAACCTGGATGTTTTTTACTTCTTTTTTTTCTTGCCTTATTGCACTGGCAAGGCACTTCAGTAAAATGTAGATAGAAGTAATGAGAGTAGACGTTCTTGTTTGTTCCCGCTCTTAGGGGGAAAGCATTCAGACTTTGACCAGTTAGTATGATGTTAGCGGTAGGTTTTTCAAAGATGCTTTTTATAAGGGTGTAAAAGATTCCTTCTTTCCCGAGCTTGCTGAGAGTTTTTATCAGGAATGGATATGGGATTTTGCTAAATGCTGTTTTCTGCATCTATTGGAATGATCACATGGTTTTTCTTTTTTAGTTTGTTAATATGGTGATTTTTGTTGACTTTCAAATGTTAAGCCAATCTTGCATTCTTGGACTAAATCCTACTTGGTCAGGATATATTGTCCTTTTTATATATTCTAGTAGTCAATTTGCTAAAATTTTGTTTAAAATCTTTTCATTTACGTTTATGAGGGATGTTGATCTGTTTTTTTCTTTTCTTTTAGTGTCTTTGTGTGGTCTTGGTACCAGGGTAATGCTGACTTCATAGGACAAGTTCAAAAGTGTTGTCCTACTTTCCAGACCAATTTGTATCAGAATTGGTATTTTTTTCTTAAACATTTGGTAGAGTTTGCCAGTGAAACCATTTGTGCCTATAGTTATCCTTGGGGGAAGGTTTTTAACTACAAATTTAATTTCTTTGATAGATATAGGGCTATTCAGGTCATCTGTTCCTTTTTGAGTGAGTTTTGATAGTTTGTATTTTTCAAGGAATTTCAGTTAGGTTGTCAATTTATTGCAAAAGTTTTTTTTATGATATTCCCTTACCATTCTTTTAATATCTGTAAACTTTGTAGTCGTTTCACCTTTCTCATTCCTAAATATCGGTAATTTGTATCTTATCTCTTTTTACTGATCAATCCGATTGGAATTGTATCAGTTTTATTGATCTCAGGGAACTAGTATTTGGTGTCACTGATGTTCTCTATTGTTTTTCCTGCTTCAGGGATTTGTGCTCTGATTTTTATTATTTTCTTTTTTGGTCTTACTTTGCATTTAATTTGCTCTTCTTTTCCTAGTTTCTTAAGGTGGAAGCTGAGGTCATTGATTTGAGGCCCTTCTTCTAGTCTTACATAGATGTTTAGTGCTGTAAGTTTACTGCTAAGTACTGCTTTAGTGGCATTCTCCAAATTTGATGTGTTGTTTTCATTTTCATTCAATTCAAAGTATTTTGTGATTTCCCTTTTGATTTCTTCTTTGACCCATAGGTTATTTAGATGTATGTTTAGTTTCCAAGTATTTGGGGATTTTCTCAAGATTTTTCTGTATGACTCGAATCCCTTTAGATGTACTGAAAATGAGCCCATATTCTGGGCTCATTTTATGGCCAGAATATGGTCGTCCTTGGTAAATGTTTTGTATGCCCTTGAGAACCAATATGTATCTTGCTGTTGTTGGGTGGAGGGGTCTATAAATGTCAGATCCAGTTGGTTGAGGGTGGTGTTTGCTTCTTCTCTAACCTTGCTGGTTTTCTGTGTACTAGATCTGTTGATTACTGAGACGAATGTTAAAAGTTTCCACCTATAATTGTGGATTTGTCTCTTTCTCTTTTCAGTTCTGTTAGTTTTTACTTTCTGTATGTTGTAGCTCTGTTATCTGTAAGTACACATTTAGGAATTTTGTGTCTTCTTGGTGAACCCATCGTTAAGTATTGTCTCTTTTTTCCCCTGATAATTTTATTTTGCTCAGAAGTCTCCTTTGTCTGATATTACTGTAGCCACTTCAACTCTCTTCTGGTTAGTGTTTTTGCATGATATATATTTTTCTGTGCTTTAACCTTTAATTATTTTTACTTGAATAACTTTCCCACTAGGCTTGTGAATGGTCACATGGGAAGTTGGGAATTTTTCATATGAGTTTTGAACCCTCTCCTTGTGTAGAACTACACAAAATGCCATACTTTTTCTAATAACGTTCTTCCTTGCTGAATTTGTTCATTTTTACTTTGGTCTTTCCTGCTTTCTGTGAGAATTCCACCTTTCATGCCAACACACCACTGTGAAATATTTACTGTGGACCTGATGTACGTTAGCCTATGCTCAAGGTGCTGGGGATGTAGCAACAAAGTCCTTCTTCCTAGGGCAGTTACGTTTCAGTGGAGTGAGACAGACTGTAAACAAATATACACTGTTAGTGGTGATAAAGTGCTATGGGGAAAAAAATAAAGCATTAAGAAAGGGAGGTAAGAGGGATGAGGCTGGGTGGGTGGGCAGAAGGGCTGTCTGACAAGGTGACTTTTGGACAAGACGTGATGGAAGTGAGGGATGAACTGTGTGGAACTAGGGTGAAGAATATTTCTGGTAGAGGCACAAAGAGTGCAAAGACCTAGGATGGGAATATGCTTGGGAGAAGAGTGTGGCTGGAACCAAATAAGTGGTGTCAAAGGTCATCTGAACCAGCTGGAACATTGTAGAATTCTGAAATACTGCGCTGAAAACTGTCCTTTAACAGCACCGTGGTCCAAACCAAACAGTACAAGTGAGGCTTCAACTTTTGCAACAGAGCATGGGTGGGGTGGGCAGGGAATAGAGACACTTATTCCTTTGCATCGGCATACAGCCAACTACTGATAAAGTTATTAAGACTGAAGACCAGTGAGCTGTATGAGATGTCTGTCTGTATTAGTCTGGTCTGAGTAGATGAATGTTAAATTCTTTCTGTCACCCAAGATTCAAGTACTTTTCTTTTGTTCCTTGTCAGTTCTTGAATGTGCTGGATAGTCTTAGATGAGTCCCAGGCCTTTCTTAACCTTTTTCTAGTTTGTGAAGTATGGCTGATACTTACTGTATCTCTTAGGTGCGTTAAGTCACTTGTAAAATCCTTTGGAAAATTAGAAGACTCATAGAGTTTTCACAAAAATCATCAACTAATGGATTGAAAAATTCAGTGGAGTGTAATGGGAAAGGCCGTAGGAAAAGGGAGGTCGGGCACAGCACTACACTTCGGTTCAGCTGGTCAGCTCGCAGTTTCTCTTTTGACAAAGATGTGTATGTGTGTTTGTAGGTAGTTGATGTCTGTATGTGGAGAGGAGTAAAACAAAAACATAGACCAAAATAGTGAGATTACTGTATTTCAGAATGCAGCACATTCACAAATTTTTATTTTATTGCAGGTATTTCTTGGTGGATTTTTATGCACCGACAACAACTGTTGAAGGCATAATGGAGCATTTGTCTCGAGACATTGATGTGATTAGACCAAATATTGTAAAACACCCTCTGACCCAGGAAGTGAAAGAGTGTGAAGGGATCGTCCCAGTCCCACTTGAAGAAAAGCTGTATTCCACCAAGAAGAGGAAGTGAGAAGATTCACCAGATTTTAGCCTTCAGTTTAATTCTTTCACTTTTGAGCACCATGGATTAATAACTGACCAGCCTGATCTTTATGTAAGAGGGTGCTTTCAGTGCCCTTTGATTTTTCTAAGGTACTTTTAGTTCTTGATCCCCTTTGCTGTGAAAAGTCGGGGAATGGCCTCCTTAGAGCCACATTGTAATATATGGCATCAGTGCTCCCTGCTCGATTGCATTTCACGAATGTAATTTGTCAGTGAGGACTTTGCCCTACAGCAGCACTAACACTGCTTTGAAGAGCAAAGATTATAAAAACCACTTTGGATTACACGCTAGTCATTCAGACTGTATACCACCATGCAAAATAAAAATTTAAGACCATCGTATTATATGAGTAACTTTTGATCAGAGTGAAAGTCTGTGATTTTAAAGAACTTTTGCCTCGTCACCTCCCCCAGCACTGTGCCCCATCCAAAGCCTCACAGCTCCGGTCTGCCCAGAATGCTGGCAGCATGTCGGCGGGGCTCCCGGTTACCAGCGCAGGTTCAAGACTGGGAGAAGCCACGGTGAGGGCAGGTGGGATGTGTCTGTCCCTTGACTCCTGGGCAGTCACTTTTCCTTTCCTCTCACAATTAACTTGTCCTTGTGGTGGGTGCTGCTCTTGGTAGAGGGGCGTGTGTGTTCTGTGGCAGTTGGTGGTGGCACTGCTTCCTGTCATTCCTCTGCCAGTAGCACTGCTTCCTCACTGTCCCCCGGGCCTGCAGACCTCTTTGGGGAAGTGGCCACCTGTGAACTCTGCACCTCCTCCCTTCTGCCCGTTACCCTGATGAGTCGGAAGCCAATTGCTGTTGAGTTGGGGATGCCCAGAGAGCTAGCTGGCACCATGCCTGTGGCTAGTGGCATGCTGAGCTCTTAAGTTAGGGGGACTTGTAAGAAGATCCATCTTTTTTGTTGTTGTTTTTATTTGATACTCATAGACATATTTTTAAAAACATGTCCTGGAAATAAAAAGACAGGTTTTGCTTTGAGAGATTTTTGTTAGCAGGGGAAAAGTTGGGTTTGAAATGTTGTTGTACTTTGAGACTAAGAAGCAGCTAGTCTTTGCTTAAAATTGATTTAAGTAGGGTTATCATATTTAGCAAATAAAAATGCAGGATGGCCAATTAAATTTGAATTTCGGATAAATAACGAGTCAGCTTCCACATAAGTATGCTCCAAATGTTGCAAGGAAGTACACTTACAGCAAAAAATGATGCATTGTCTACTTGACATTCAGATTGACGTGGGTGTCCTGTATTTTATGTGGTAACCTTGGCATAACTCACATAAAGGAATAATCAATACCAAGCCAGAGACAGCAAAGCTGAGAAGAAAATAAAGTCAACATCCAGCATCCTGGCTTCAGCTGACCACACTGGCAACGAGGCAAGTTACGGAAGAGAACCCGGTGGGTGTGCCTTAATGTGCCCCAAACCCTTGTGCCCTCAACCTACCAGAAAACTGATCTAGAAACCAACTGAAATTTCATTTCTGGTCAGTGCCAGATAATCTGTTCTGTGAGCCTGAATTTACACCACAGTCTGAGAATTCTCCTTTAAAAAGTTCCATATGTGGTCTCTGCCCCAGGCCTGGGATGCTGAGGACCTGGGGTCCCTGGCAGTGGGCTGGCTTCTGTGGTGGGTGAGGATGAGGCTTTTTGCTGGAACAGTCACTGGCATCTCCTCCTCAGTCTCCTCAGAGCTGGTGAATTGGAAGAAATTGACCGGCCTTTCCATCTTCCCACAGCGGGGCCCTGCACAGGGCGTCCATCAGCAGCCCAAATGGCAAAGCTTCTGCACACAAGTTGTTGGGGGAGGTGCCAGTTACTAAGTCGAATCTCTGGTTGTACTAATTACACAGTCAGATCATATTGAAGCCAGAGGGAGCCCAGAGATCTGGCCTCTGTCTGTTTTTAATGGTGAGACTGAAGCACAGACAGATGTGCAAGAGAGGTGCCCCAAGAGCCAGGAGGAGCCCAGCTCCAAACTAGTCCAAGGCCTCCTCCCTCCGGGATGCTGCCTGTCTCTGCCCTGGACGATCAGATTCCGCCCTTTGCTTATTCTTAAGAGCCCGGGCAGCATCCAGCTTCAACTTCCTTCAGAAGCAAAACTATTAAGAAGTCTCTTTGAAGAGCAATAGTTCAGTCAAGAGGGTCATTAAGAACTGTACACTGGAAATAAAAGGGATAAAGTGGAGATTATCGGGGAAAATATGCTTCTTCCTGTTCATTAGGGATTTCCTGAAAGCGCAGGCTCTCAGCCAGGGCTCGAGGGATCACAAGCTCCTCCACCAAATGGCTTGAGTCTCCATGTACTGTCACTCAGGTGCTATCTGAGGTGCGTCTTGCGTTTTCCTTACGGTGTATTATGTGCGTGCTGCGTGCCATATGCTGTGCTGCTGCACACACTTAATCTGTTACCTCATTTAGCCCTTTCAGCAGCTCTGTGAGGGAGTGGTGTTACCCCTGTTTTCTGGATGAGAAAACAGACTCCAAGAGATTTGAACTTGACCCCACCAGTACCAAGTGACAGCTGGGATCTTGAGCTGGGGACCCTGACGCCATGGAGTCTTTTCCATCCGGTAGCACTGAGGTTGTCATTGTTCTCTCTGGTTAAACCAGGCACCTGGGTGTCAGGGGTGAGCTAGTGTCACTCAGATAGTAGCAGTTGTCCTCGTGTCCTGAGTGTGGTGCTGACACTTTCTTCTCCTGCACTTGCTAGCCCCTAGGAAATCGACGGACCCCGTTGGGCATTCCAGGTCATCGAGTGTTCGGAATCCTGTGGCACAGTTTAGAGCGGCTTAGGAAGGAGGCTGGCTAAGTAGGACAGCTGTGCTGTGTGCCAGTTCCCCTCCAAAAGGAAGCTCCAAAATGAAGCCACTGTCCCTTCCCCCTGAGGCGCTGATTCATAGCTGGACCTTCAGCCGCTAAGGGGCCCTTGCCCCCTTGCAGCCTGTTGGGATGCCAGGGTTTGAGCAGGGCCTATGTGCAGGTCACCTCCGGGCTGCTTCTTTGCCCTGGGTCCTCTTGCCCAGGTTGGCGGCAGGCAGAGGCACTGTTTGGGTGGTTTGCCCCTTCAGTGGACGGTTATCAGTGAAGTGCTGGGAGTAGAGCGTGGGCAAAGACAGTCCTGCGGGGCTGATAGCTGGGAAGGCAGAGCGGTGTGGGTGTTGCCACATGGGGGGCGCTGCAAAGGGCAAGAGCAGAGGACGTGGTCGGGAGGGGACAGGGAAGCCGAGACCTGCAGGATGCGGAGCCAGTCCCATGATGTGATGGTGTCGGCAGATGGCACAGCACGTGCAGATGCCTCGAGGTCCTGAGCTGGAGACCAGAGAGTGGAGCGGGCAGGATGAGGAATTGGGGGGCCAGATCTGGGAGACTGGATGGAAACTCCTGAGAGTAAACACGAAGGGATAGGAGTCTGCTGAAGTGAAAGGAGACGCAGAAGCATAAGAGGCCAGGTGTCGGGGTGAAGCAGCAACTCCAGAGTGCTCCCTTTGGGGGCCTCTTCCTCAGATTTGTTACCCTATTTGTGGTCCACTTGGAACAGGGTTGAGCTTCCAGAAATCCTTTTTTTTTTTTTTTTTTTTTCCTGCATAAGGTGGGCTCAGGAAGGTGGAGAAAGATGGAGGCTGTGGACCCAAGAAGCTAGTCCCAGGGGTGCCTTGGAAGCTGCTTCCTGGAGACGTTGTCAGGTCACGGAAGCATCTGAACCCGAGACGATGAAGTCCTGTCCCGTGGAATGTCCACAAGGAAGGACCACTAGGCCCAAGTGAGCCTTTTGCTGAAAGACCAGGTTTGTGTTGATTGAGATGAAATACCAGTTAAAAGATAGAGGAGCACTGAAAGCATGAGCTGCGTGTCCATGCTTCTGGTTGAGTCTAGAAGAGTAGTTATCCACCCTGACACACCTGAGGGATGCCACACACACCTTCAGCAAAAGCTCAACATGGACATTATACCTTTCCCCTCCTCACAACTCCCTGAGGCCAGTGTTATACCCGTTTTACAAATGGGGCACCCAACTGCTAAGAGAAAATGAGTGACTCCTCCAAAGCTACCAAGGGAGGAGTTGGGATTGGGAATTTGAATGTCCACTTTGGGCACACTGCACCCTTCTAGAGGTGGCCCCTGCCAGTCCCTGCAGCCCGGGCCACGCTGACTGACCTGATACCCTGTGCCCTTCCTGTCCCACACCTGGACCAAGACCCCGGGCTTCATCACTATAGGAGGGGAGACAGTGGATCTGGGACTCCTTGGGAGTGCTTTTAATCTCAGGTCTTCAAAGGGAAGTCCTGAGAACACTGGAAGAAAAGTTAGCATACCCTGGAGATCAGGCCTCCTTTTGTCATGTTTTTCCAAACTGCTCCATAATTTCCCACAGAGCTTTTTTCTCTCCACATTTCCCCAGGGGTGTGTTTATAGGACACACACATGGCAGGTGCTGCCCAGGGCAGGATACAAAGACGAATGGGCTGTGTCCCTGACCCCAAGCCTCTCACAGATGGGGGAGGTGGAAATATTCAGCCATCTGAAGACAGGCCATAATAAAAACAATCACTGAGGTTCATACCAAGTGCTGTGGAAACGGAGAACCGGATTCGTTAGTACTTGGAGTGGGGGGAGGTGGGGAGTTTTCCAGCAGAGATGGCGTTTAAGCTGGCATGGGAGCAACTAGTGTGGAGCATGGGTGGTGGGAGATGGGAGGTGGCTAAGGTGTGTTTTGGAAACACCTGGGAACGGGCAGGTATGGTGTGATGGCGGGAAAGGGCTTGGGGTGCAGGAGAGCCTGGAAATTCAGGGAGGGTCCAAGTTGCCATCTGTTGGTGAAGAGACATTTTGTGGCTGCTAAGGGTTTCTTGAAGTGAAGGGACCATTTTGAAGAACCAAGAATGAGTGCTATGCATATTAACTTGTTCTGAAAGGTGCCTCCTAATTGACCAACCCCCCATGCTGCCCACATGTTCGTGAGAACGAAATGATTATACAGACTCATCATGGAGAAGTACAAAGAGGGCTGAGGCCAGGTTTTCAGATGTCCCCCAGCAGTAGACAGAGTGGACTAGACAGTGTAGTGCTTGCCCCGTGGCCCCTACCTGACCTGGGGGCGCTCTGAAATGGCGTGAGTGCGCATTTGGAAAGTACGCAGCATCCTCTCCTTGTGGTCTGGAGGGCTCAGTGAGAGATGACTGCACCTGGCATCCACCTGGAAGGCCACCTGCCACCCCCCTGCCCTGTTTTCTGCACCCGGAAACAGGCCAGTGTGGTGCTGATAGTGGGGAGTTTCCAGGGCAATTTGTGAGATTCTCAGTCACCTTGAAAAAAGCGTAGTAGTGGGATGAGCGTAGAACTTTGGGTCAG